CTACGTGGACTCTCCTGGTTATGTGGACGCCCCTACGTGGAGTCCCCACGTGGACTCTCCTACGTGGACCATGGTTATGTGGACCCCCCTACGTGGAGCCCCCTACGTGGACTCTCCTACGTGGACCCTGGTTGTGTGGAGGCCTTGTCTGGCCCTATGTGGAGGCCTTGGCCAATTTTATGTGGCTTTATGTGGAGCCCTTGGCTTGCCATATGTGGAAGCCTTGGCCGCCCGTGGAGGCCTTCACTGGCACGTGAGGAGCCAAGGCCCCCACATAAGGCCCGGCAATCCTGCTGTTTTTTATTGTTGTGAATGATGAAGGAACTGCACATTTAAATATACGGAGCCGCCCGTCGCCCCCAAACATACGGACAGAATAGGAATTATACACTACCTCCGGGAGGATCAACCCTGGGCCGCCCTCCACATATTTTAATGGCGTAACCGTAGTAGCAATGGCCTCCATACTAGAAGCGATGGCCTCCAACCTAATAGCCCAAAAAAATAGACAACACATAAAATCTCGCGTAACCTCACCTTCCGGGCAATATACTGGGGCATCTGACAGTCGATACTGCCAGTCACTCCAAGCGCCAATCTTGAAAAGCGCGACGGTGTTGTCTGCCACTCGGTTGATGACTGGGGCGAAGCGGCAAACATCTCGAGCGAGGCTTGCACGGTATTCGAGGAAGAAAGAGTAAACGTAGAGCGACACGCCTTCAGTATGCATAGCATCCATTTGGCAAGTGTTGCCCCAACTACTACCGCACGAAATACTGCTAACTGGACGCCAGGCACCACATGTCATGTGGTAAAGGCCCATAGCAGAATACGTATGTCCAAGATCGTCCTCGAAGAAGATCGTGCCACCTGCGTGGTCTGTGCGCCTGAGTCGAAACTTGGCTGTTCCTTTGCCCGTTGAGTCATCGGTGAAAAGCGCACAAGCTCTGAAATCTGAAGCAGTGGGGTAGTCCGCTGTGTTGATGAAGAGGCCAGTGCCAGCTTGACCTCCGCATCTGGGAACATAGATGTACAAAAAGACACAGTGCATGGTTCGCGTGGTACAGTTCAATGCACATGCGAAAAACAGTCTGGTGAGAAAAGTTCAAGGTTAGAATCGGTTAGAAACCAATTGAAAACAAAGGATTACCAGCGCTTTGACCAAAATACTTGTGCTGGTTCTACTCAAGCAAATGAAACGAATTAGAAGCCCTTTGCGTGGTATCTTGTTGCGAAATCAACAACTGTGGCACTCTGTGGTTTGCGTTTCGCGGAGACAAAGTAAAAAGATATAGGATTTAAACAAAAAAAACGAGCAAACATATTAACAACCAAACATGTGTTTCAACACATTTTGAATGACAATGCAAGTCAAAGGCCAATGTCAATCTACAAAGTCGATGCACAACGGGTTTGTGATATTTTCTGTGTAAAAACAAGATCGGAAAACAAAGCGAATGGCGAACCAAACTGCGTTCCAAACACAATGCAAGCAAGCAACTGATCGCATACCAAGAATTGGTGCCCGAGGTGGCATAACTGGAGATGGCCAACTTCGTCCTGCCCAAATATGCACTTGGCGTGGACACAAGGTCACCTCAGCCACCCAAATGCCTCGTGTTAGCCACACAACTGTGACCCTCCAAGCAATCTTGTACTTGAGTGAGGGCGGCCGCGCGGCGTGAGCCTTACACTTGACTACTTTACAAAGAGATGTATTGCGGATGGAGGCTGGGCAACAATGAAGGGCCTGTGTGCGTGGGCCATCGCTACTAGGTTGGAAGGAGTGTGATTTAAACTGATTTAATGAGTTAATCGATTGGATCTACCCAGGCTGGCCTTTCAGACACCCGAGCACTCGGTAGCGTGATGTGGCTCGATGGAAAGAAGAAACACACGAAAATTGTATTGCTACGTCCACCTCACCAGCCCCTCTTGCGGGGGGGACTTACTTCACAAGGGGCTGGCTTTCGTCTCATAGAGTGATGCAAATGGCAAAGCCTTATCACTTTTCCCAAGAAAATCTCAGCGAAGGATTCTTCTTGAAGAGATGTGGTCAAATCATATCTAGGCATCCTCACACTGGCTCACATCTCACATCTACATCGCAGTTAGGTGGAGGCCATCGCTAGTAGACTGGAGGCCATCGCTCTTAGCTTCGAGGCCATTTCTCGCTGGAGGCCATCGCTCTTAGGTTGGAGGCATTCGCTCTTAGGTTGGAGGCCATCGCTCTTAAGTTGGAGGCCATCGCTCTTAGGTTGGAGGCATTCGCTCTTAGGTTGGGGGCCATCGCTCTTAGGTTGGAGGCATTCGCTCTTAGGTTGGAGGCCATCGCTCTTAGGTTGGAGGCCATCGCTCTTAGGTTGGAGGCCATCGCTCTTAGGTTGGAGGCCATCGCTGTTAGGTTGGAGGCAACCGCTCTTAGGTTGGAGGCATTCGCTCTTAGGTTGGGGGCCATCGCTCTTAGGTTGGAGGCAATCGCTGTTGTAGGCCATCGCTCTTAGGTTTGAGGCCATCGCTCTTGGTTTGGAGGCCATCGCTCTTAGGTTTGAGGCCATCGCTCTTAGGTTGGAGGCCATCGCTCTTGGGTTGGAGGCCATCACTCTTAGGTTTGAGGCCGTCGCTCTTAGGTTCGAGGCCAGCGCTGTTAGGTTGGAGGCCATCGCGCTTAGGTTTGAGGCCATCGCTCTTAGGTTGGAGGCAATCGCTGTTAGGTTGGAGGCCATCGCTCTTAGGTTTGAGGCCATCGCTCTTAGGTTGGAGGCCATCGCTCTTAGGTTGGAGGCCATCGCTCTTAGGTTGGAGGCCATCGCTCTTAGGTTTGAGGCCATCGCTCTTAGGTTTGAGGCCATCGCTCTTAGTTTGGAGGCCATCGCTCTTAGGTTGGGGGCCATCGTTTAGGATCTCTTAGGTTGGAGGCCATCACCCTTATAGGTTTGAGGCCATCGCTCTTAGGTTGGAGGCCATCGCTGTATTAGGTTGGAGGCCATCAATATTAGGTACATCTCTCACATCATCACAGGGCGCGGCGAAATTGCCTCGGGTTTGGCAAGGCCTGGAAAGTGCTTTTGTGTTGCTGGTGAGCCGCTGGATCTCCATTTTCAATCTATCCGGTCCCAGCTTGCCCGGAACTTACTTGTAGATGGCCTCCACCCTAGTAGCAATAGCCTCCACCCTAGTAGCGATGGCCTGCCTCCTCCAACTTCGTAGCGATGGCCTCCAAAACAAGAAGCTACTAGGAACAAAGGGCATCGCTACTAGGAGCAAGGA